TTGCGGACGCTTGCGGACGCTTTGCGAACACAACGCAACGACCTCGCGTCGCCTCCTGGACCCCTGGACCCCAACTTTAAAACGGGAACCCTTCTGCTACGCATTCGGGAAAAAAGGAAGCAGCGCCTGGCCCAGGAACTCCTTGTACATCAGGAGTTGATCAGCTGCATAGCTTGGAGTACTCAAGTTCTCCACAAGCAACCCATCTGGCTTCAGCAATTTCGTCACGTAGTGCATGTCCTGCACATGGTTTTCGTCCATGCTTGCAAAGTTTAGACCGACGAAACCTCTGTACGGCAGGTCCTTGCGGTCCAATTTGATGTTGTGGCCAACATCTGTGACCTGAGGATGAACCACCGCAGCCTTGTTTGGACTTGTGCGTTGGTTGAGCTCTAAGCTTCCCACAATAGCATCAAAAGACTCTGGCCTTGACCTTGAAAGGTCATCCAGTGCGTGGTGCAAGTCTTGCACCACGGTTTCACCTCAACCGCTTCAGGTTCAGCTATCTGAATGCCCCTACTTCTGCCAAGGAAGATATCTGCCGTGCGCATCTGAATTTTCGGAACCTGACCACGATATGCAAAGAAATCCTGCGCTGCTTTGACAACGTCTGGGTTGTTGTCAACGGATAAAACCTCAGCAACCACGCAAAGCCAGCTGAACAGAACCTTCCTTAACAATCCTTGTGCGGTCTGGCATCCTTTGTGCCAGGACAGAAGGTTTCCAAATATGTTGGTATCACTCCACCTGCTGAAAAGAACAGAGGAAATGGAAACTGCAGGACAAGCTCTGTGCCTCCGAGTCCCAGGACCAGCATGCCTGGGCATATTATATTCACAGCATATGAACTTCGAAGGGGAATGTTGAACAAGAATAAGACGATGAAGAGCCACCTCACGTCATGTCCTACCCTCTATGGCCACCGAGCTGCTTTGGCCAGGCCTGCACTTTGAAAGCAGCGGTCGGAGGATGGTGCGGGCATAGGGCAAACAGTCCTCCAGCCCTGAAGGAAAAGAGCAGCGAAAGCTATTCAGCACTTGCAATTTGACGTTTTGAATCCAATGCAGACAACACGCCCTACGCTCCAAAGCATGGATTCACTTGCCAGATGTCCGCCCACATCAATTTCTTGCAGTTGTTCATGCCAATGAAGTGAAGAAGTCACAAGCGAGGGTCCACGGCATGGGAAAAAGCTTTCGGGAGGCTGACGTAGCTTCAGTGGCAAGTTGACACATCATGACCCCACCAGCCTCGGCTAAGGTCCGGCGAGCTGCAGCGAAGAGCAGTCCTGTCAAAGGAGATTCTGTCGCATGCTGGCATGGAGTGTGCTATGCAGTGCTAGTTGCCTCACTGCTTCGTCGTCACAATGGCCACTGGCTGCTGCCGGAGGTCCGGCACAGCGAAGTGCAGATTGCACGAAGTGTGGCCTGGACCCAAGTGGTCTCATACGATGGGTAGCGCTCAGAACAGGCTCTTGCTGTCCGCCTGGTTGTGTCGACCAGCAGCCTCACATTGTCCGGAGACACCGTCACCTGGGAGACACACCAAAGGATGTCGTGCACCCGCTCTAGTTCAACAGAAGATCTGCAACAGTACTGACATTGCTTGCGGTCCCAGCGACCCTGATAACTCATATGTCTCTTGTGAATCATCCCTACAAAGCCTGCTCACCTCTTCCTGCCCTCCCTGTGGTAACGGCTTTGTGGCACTGAATGCACTTGATGCCCTTCCAGGACCTGATTACGGCGTCCCCCAATCCAAACGCTATTCTAGGCTGAGACGAGCAGCTCAGCGACTCATGGGAAATTGTCAAAGTTGGGTTTCCCGCTTCGAATTGCCTAGGTATTGGTGGGTTTGTGTAGAGAAGATCTCCGGAGCCCTTGCAGGAGCTCCTGCTTCGTAGCCTGAGAAGGTGTAATTACTTCCACCGAGTCAGCTTCTCACCCAGCAAGAAAATTTGTAAAATACAGTTACCGCAAGCTTCACAAAACCTGCCTTCATGATATCGAATATTGTTGGCACGCCGGCTTAGTCTGCTGAGTACGCCCGATCCGAACGAAGCCACTGGAAAAAATGTAAAGCTCCTTGGCCTTGACATCTGCCGCATCACCCCTCTAGTTTCCAAGTAACGCATTCAAGTTCAGTAGAACCTTCATGGCCGCAAGACTCTAGACTTAACGACCGTAATGACCCTCCAAAGATCTCCAAGGTTTGGTACTAATTGTAACTTGAGTCCCACCGGCTGCGAGGGTCTTGTCCCGACCATAGCCGCGGCATCCAGTCGTCAGCGGGTCTGGAAGCTCATCGAGCAGCTTGCGCGCTGCTCCCATAGCTCTGTCAACGCTCACGCTGCGCCATTTGTACCACTGTGAAAGAAAGAGAGAGTTCATTTTCCATTTATTGACGAAGGAAACTGTTGTATGCTGCTGGAGTAGATTCCTTACTGCCACACTCTGCCGACGCCAAAAGCCGGTGTGCCGGTGACACGCATGATCTTCGCTCATGGATCGACTGATCGGTCATTTGCCACTCTATTTTCTGGCAGCACATCCAGCATCCCCCTGCATTTGATATCCTGTTTTGCTTTGGTGGGGACTCTGCGACTGCTTGAGTCCAGTGACAGGAGCTTGCCGGCAAACCACGTCCAAGCTCCGCTGCTAGACTCTGGAAAGCTCGATCTGCAGGATGACTCGCCGGCCAGCTGTGACCGGCCTCAGGCTTGCATACCGCACAATGTGAGCTTTAGTTTTTTTGGCAAGGACATTTTGGTTCATACTTCATACTCGTAGCTTGTCAATATGGTCGTCCAGGACACGTGATCCAATGCACGAGCTTTTCACCACCTTGGCAAAAGCTGTTAATGCAAGTAGCATCTTCTCGCATGTCTTCGATTGCTGAGAATCGCACGGAACAGCACCTTCCACCCACGCATACATCCACTTTTCATGTCACAAGGTCTTCTAGCCAAGAACCTCTAAAACGTTCTATGCCCAGGCACGACATCCCCCTTTTGGAGCGTGACCTGGCCAATGGAACAGATCAGGTTTTGAAAGCACCCCTTCCGTCCCCACGTGGTACCTCGCGGTGGCCCCGGCTTCCCGCTGCCCTTCGAAAGCAGCTTCGCCCGCCGACGTAGGCGTCCGGTGCAGAAAGCATCGCTACTAAGGTCACCTCGATCCATACTTCATGACATTTCATGACTCAGTGTGTGTCTTGCAGGATATGAAGCACATCTGGAGCAGTAGGAGGGTATTACAAGAACTTGTGGCGGACAAGATGCCGCTGATTTGTTGTCAACGTGAGGCTCAATGAAGCAAGGCTCTCCCATTTCTTCCACATCGTACTCTATGTATTCCACCTCCGGATAAACTTTCCTTGGCTTCGGAGAATTGGGAACTGTCGGCACCAAGGAAGGAGTGCAGCGATTCCGAATTATTCAGAGCGGCTTCGACTTTGCGCAAAGCCGCTGCCACTGCGCTTCATCAGCGTTGCGCATCAGAGCCATCAGTCGCGCCTTGTAAGCAGCGAACAAAAAAAACAATGAAGGCACATGTGAACGCGAAGCTTCGACAAGGAGCGTAGAGCTCAGGCGAGAGAGAGCGGAGCTGAAGCTCGAAGCGCCAAACCCTGCCGTAGGGGCCAGGTCGGTTTGGCCATGCAGTGCTTTAAGCTGACACAAGCAAAAGTGCCACGCGTTTGCCCGAGTTTTTCCCTCCCTCTTGGAACCTGTGCTTGAAGGCCAGATAGCCTTTGCGATCGTTGATCTCCTTCACGGACGCATGCTTCGCCGCAGCAGCAATCGCCTCCCAAGCAACAAAATGCATCCAGCCCAAAGGAGCCAAAGCATGTGATATCAAGTCATCCTCGATATCCTCCTGACGTAGAAATGCTGGTGCCAGAGCAAAGCTTCTATACCTTGAACGATCACAGCACAGCTTTTTCTCTGGGCATGCTGGCAGCAATCTTTCTCCCCAGCCCCTGTCAGCCAACCCGACGAACATTGGAGTGGAGGTCTTCGCGCTCCAGCAGCATTCGTGTGTGTCTGAGGTCGGGGCTTCTTAGGGGCTTCGAACCAATACCTTGAGAGCTTGGCAGCAAAAGGACGCCCCCGATGTCAATAAAGGTACAGCTGGTAGCTAGGTTCCCGGCAGTTCTCCATGCCTTGATGGCTGCTCATCAGCCACGCTTCGTGGAGCCAGCGGGGGCGGGCCTAGGCACTCTTCATCTAGCCTTCCATCTGCTTCTTCAGTTTTGGGTACAAGCTTGCCGGATGTCAAAGTTGCCAGTGCATCATGACCACAATAGATGGTTTTGAGGCTTCACAACTTGACAACTCGTAGCCTCACTTCATCGATGTACCAAGGCTTTGGCTGTCAGCGGGAGGCGAGAAGTTGGATGTCCGTCCCTTAAGCAGGTTCCATTGCTGCTGAACCTGGCGACGCAGCAGAAACAAGGATGTGAACTCTTGCACCCGCCTTCGAGACACGCTACTGCTACAATTTCTTGGCCTGCTGTCGCTGGCGCTTGAAGCTGCCAATCTCGCCGCCGTCTGTGCTGCTGGAACTGTCACTGCTGGTGCTGCTGCTTGCATGACCTGTAGCTGCAGAAGCAGGCAGAAGACAAAGGGAGTTTACAAAACTCCCCAGCCCCAGGCTTGAAGAGCTGCTCTCGCTGCTTTCGTGTCTGCGTTGCCTGTTGCTAATTCCACTGAACATGAGCTACAGCATCCCAAAACTATCGACTGAGCGGCAGCAGGTATCTCAAACGCCAAGCTCTCTTCTTGCGCTTTTTTCGATTTTGCTTCTCCTTGGTGCTGGAAATGCGCAAATGGCTCTGCACATCGGAGCGGGTGGAGCAGTCAGGATTTGCTTATGACAACCGAAGTTACGACGGGCCTCTGTACTGCGTAGTTCTTGAAAGAGGAACCGCAATTTAAAAACCGGCACCTAGTGCTTTCAGCGCGCAAGCTTTTTCCGACAAGGGGACAAGCGAACCGTGAAAGTCCACTACAAAATGGGCGTGTTTGCGCCTTAAAACTTTAATGCTACTGCTGTTGAAAGGGAGCATGTATCTGGATCCATGCACTTTTTGGCAGGGTCCTGAAATCAGCAATCCTTGCTACTGCTGTATCGCAAGATGCTGGCATCACTGTGGTTGCTGCTGGTTTGTCCCGCCGAAAAGCAGAATGAATCTGGTGCCACGCATCTGAGGGCAAGGCGCGGAAGTCCCCCACGCGCAACATCTGCTTTGGTTCTGCTGGAGCTGCGATATGGGTCTCAATGGGCTTGTCCACGTCTGTACTCTCTTGCCTGCTCTCCGCCGGGTTCTTTTCCACCTCTCTAGCCTCCTACGGGCAAACTCTGAATGTCAAGTCCTACCAAACGCACAATTGACTGGCCGCTCCGAAGGGAAGCCGCTTGCGCATTTGTCAGCACGTCCCAACAACATGCAAATACAGCAACAGCCCGTGGCACGAAACACACATGTCCTACAGTTCGGATGCGTGTCTCTTTGCATTTTCGGGAGTGTGAGGGATCTGCGAGTGCAAAAACATTTTGAAGGCTACAAAAGAGGCCAACGTATCAGAAATGCCCAAATCCGCGCCGTTTTGGAAGACTCACAAGCAAATCAAACTTTAGCCGGCTAGCCAGACACAAGATCAAGGCCTGTCAACAAACACAACACTGCGCACAGCCAGCAGAAGCCATTCACCGCATTGAACCAGCTCATGACAACATCGAAGCTCAAAAGAGACGCAGGCAACACGTCACCATGTGCTGTAAATCCTTTAGATCATTGAGAAAAATGCCAGGCAACCTTCCTTAGCGCCTTTTCTCCACCCTCGTTTGGAATCTGAAGGCAACACATCTCAACCGAGTCCAATGAAGTTACGTAAAGCTCAGTGCATATCATTTGAGCATGTAACTCTGAGGCTGAAAGTGCTGAAAGAAACACGTTCTCATAATACCAATGCTGCTAGACTTCGCATCATCATCTTCTTTTGAGATGGGAGTCCATGCAAGTCCAACCAACGTCAAGCACAGGAAATAGAAGGCGTCCAATTTCTGCGCCAAAATGAACACAGAATTGGAGCATTAACATCTCAAAGCCAAGCACAATGGACTCCTCAAGGGTAGAGTTGGTCTCCAGATGGTCCACCGGCTCTTCAAGCTTTGATTGCGACACCTGGCAATGACCCAGCTCCCCGCAAGCTCTCCTCTGCTACACAGAACCCCTGTTTGAAAAGAAAAACTCAACACTGCCTTCGCCGTTAGCGGTATGCTCACTGGATCAGAGGTACGTGGACGCTGCTTCTCCACCTTTGCTGGTAGAGCGCGCGCAGCGCCATTGCCCTTCCTCTCTGGATGGAGATGTGGAATGTGAATCACTGGGCAGTGATCTGCAGTCGAATGACCGCAGTTATCACTCCTGCATCCAACTTCGCTTCTGGGCGTAAACCAGCAAATGAGCTTGCCTTTTGCCTCCGGCCTAGCAGCCTGAAGACAATGCTCGGCCTTCTGTTCAAAACCATCTGCTTCCGGGATGTCATTGTGTTCCAACCGCAGCCAAAGTGGCAAGGGCCAATTCTTGCTGCCAGGTCGAGCAGAGGGATAACTGTTTGTTTCTGCAATTGCTTTGATAAGCTCCAGCGCTCCCGCTGTCTTGATGTGGTTGTGCGAGAGGTGTAGCTCGAAAAGCGCCCATGGCGCGGAGCGGATCCATTGCGACAAAAGGATCGCGCTGCGACAGCCAAGCTTGTTTTGATAAAACTTGGCAACCCCAACCACGACTCTTGCTTGCTTCAAGGTCAGAAGCAGGATCCTGATGGCTTCATCGTCTAACTCATTCTGGGAAAGGTCTACATCATGCGCAAGCACGATGTTTCCATTCGACACATAAAGCCTTCGGGCCTTGGCATTCTTCAAGCGTTGCAGCTCTGCCGGGAACCAGGAGCAAAAGCTTTTGAGGGCATGATAGTCCAGTCCCATTCTTGCTAATCGAATACTCAAGAGTCCGTCATCCGAGACTTGGACATAGTTGCCCCATCCCCAAGATTGACTATCACCGTTGTCAGTCTTCTTGACCGACTCATACTTTGGCTGAGGTCTCTGCCACTCCTTCTTCTGATCTTGGACCCTCCGCCATTGCTGGCCTTCTTGGTCTGTCCACTTTTCACTGTGGTCTGTCCACTTTTCACTTTGGTCAGTCCACTTTTCACTTTGGTCAATCCACTTCTCACTTTGGTCAGTCCACTTCTCACTTTGGTCATTCCGCTTTTCATCTTGGTCATTCCACCTTTCACGGCGTTGCCAATCCTGCGTTCTGTTATCTTCCGGCTTTTTCTCTGGGGTCGCCTTCTCAGCATCCCTGTCAAGCCGCTCTACTCGCCTTGCATCATCTGATCTCCGCACTTTGTCAGCACGCACCTGTTTGTCAGGAGTTAGCCCATCTATGCGGAGCCATGGAACTTGAGGCTGCCAGCTCTCTTTGCTTTTGGATGGCCTCACCTCCTGAGATATGGCAGAGGAGCTAGGTGGCTCCAAAGAAAATGTTGAAGTTGAAGGCTCAGTAGCGCATGATGTGCGGGACCGACTTGTACCGCTCTTTGAGGAGCTCACGTGCTGAGCTGACTGCGCTGGCTGCACCTGCTGTGCCGGCGCAATTTTGTTCTTCTTCTGTTTCTGCTTCAGCCTTTCGCCGTCCAGTTCAGGAAGAGGAGACGTAGCTAGCGCAGCCCTACCCATTTATCTGCAGCGTCAGTGGTTGGTGTGCTGGTTTGTTTTGGGTGCTCTGCCTTGCTGCTCTTTTGCTCTGCAACCGTCAGCTAAACATCGGCCTGTGAGGCAAACAAAATAGAAGCTAGTTCTGCTTTCTTCAAACCTGTCTACCCGCAGCCTTCAATCCTGTGTACCACATGTCCTTGTTCAACAACTACATGCTCGTGAGACGCTCTAAAGCCCGCGGACTGCGTCAAAATGGGCTGAGCTAACGTCACGTCGTACCAGCACTGCGCACTGCAAATCTTCAAGCATCCAGAAGCCAAGCCACCTCCAGGATTCCCCGGCTTCCCTTTTTGTCTTGTTGGGCAGCTTGTTCAGCTCGTTCAGCTTCAGAGTCAGTCGTCCATTCTGACGAAATCGACTCGTCACCAATCCTTCGAAGCATGTGTCACGCAACCCACTTTAAGAGCCGGAGTAACTTCTTGCAAGCAAGATTCTCCAAGTCAGTGTTCCTGATGACAAAGACCTTGCGTTCGCAATGACCATCGCTGCGCAGCTCAAACTCGCCTTGCGCTGCCATGCGTTGGCAGCTGGCTGTCACATCGCTTCACACTGCGCTCAGCAACGCAAACAAGAACCAGCACTCTGTAGTACTCTGCTCTGCATGGACTCAGCATTTGCAGCTTAGCTTGTTACGCAACAGGACTCCTACCTATGAAAGGTAAGACTTTGCCATACTTTGCCAAATCGTCTAATGCATCGAGAATGTTCGACACGTTTTGACAAGATCTGATTCTGGTTGTGGGCCGTTGGCTTTTCAGCACCTTGCATTTTGCTTGTGGTGATAGTTGCTCTGCCGAGCCAGACAATTGCGGCCACGAAGACTCAGCAACAAACACAATGCGCAGGCATGAGCATGCACCTTGGCATCCCCCATGGAGCCTGATGAAGGGCCTGGCAGAACAAGGTGAGCTAACGGATCTGCGCTTCCCTTCAGCAAACAAACGAAGCGGTCCAGACCTGACCCTGGGGCTGTCGCTGCGGCCACTGCTGCAGGTGCTCTCGCCTGCTCGCCAAGGAATTTATGATGAATGATGCATCTGCAGTGCTTTGGCCTGCACCTCTGTGGGCTTCGTTCCTGGACCCTCTTCGTCGAAAAGACCTCCCAGAGTGTACCCACAACCTACCAAGCCAGCCATGCTTGCGTGAGCTTTGGCTTGTGCTTTGCAGGGGTCTTGTCGCACTTCTGTGTACAAGCCGCCTGCCAATTTTGATTTCCGCCCAGGCAGCGGTATCTCCTTGTCGGCATCAACGGAAACCGAACTCTCCTTGCAGCTTCCAAGCGCAGCCTCCGAGTCAATTGGCCTTCTCCGATCTGCCAGCCTTAGTTGCAGCAGGCACCGCAAACTTGTAAGAAATCATGTGCAGCACGCTGCAGCGCTTTCCCTTTGCATGCACATCTGATCTGGGCTTGCATGCGCGGGTGGCCAATCACCACCCGGACGACTCGGAAGAAAGGCTAAGTCAGAGGAGCCTCAAGCGGCCAACTCTTGTCTTCGAAGTCACATTGCCCGATAGCAAGGTGCTTGAAGGGAAGCAGAAACTGCAGCTTGGCCTTCTTCAGCAGGTGCTGCAGGTGGCAAGGAAGGAGTCGACGAGCTGCTGAAGTTCTCAGAGCTGTCCTAGAAGCACCAGCAGCAGCAGCGCTAAGAGCAGCCTTCTTCCTTGAATCTATCATCGGCCATGCTCCAATATAGAGACATGTTATCATGTTATCTGACGACAGTGTGAGGTTCCTTTTCCTTCTTCTTGCCGAAAAGAGTTCGCATGGCACTCTTCCCAACTGCAGCCAAAAACAGCTACAGAGTTCTGCAATGCAAAAGGCAGGCAAGCCAACTAACAAAACCTTCCGGACACGCAGTTTTACAATGGGCTCCCTTTTGAGGAATCCGGGCGTAGAAGGCCACATGCTGACGTGAAGGGCTGGAAAATGGAAGAAGCCCCACAAACAGACCATTTAGGACATAGGTACGAATGTGCATGTTCACCTAAGATCGCGATGTATCCCTTCAGCGTTTACCGAGCCCGCAGCTCAATGGCAAACTGCGGCACGACGCTTCTGCGGCTCACGGTGAGAAGCTGATGCGGCTGTGAATCTTGTGATCTCTTGAATCCAAGGAAAGATGACTTCATCTGGTAAGCACATGGGGTTTTCCATGAGGAGGGCGGCTCCACGACAAAGGGACCCCCTCGCGCACACCCTCCTGCTACTCACCGGTGCCTTTCGAGGATGCCTTGAGCTAGCAGACGCTATGCGGGTGAGATCCATGCAAGGGCGGGAGCCAAGCGGGAAAGAGGCAAGGCAATGTGTGCCGTTGCTCACCTGGTGTAGTGCTTCATGCACTCTCAAAGCTTTTCGTGCTTTTGATATACAGGAAAGGCAAGTTGCTGTTGCTGACAATGCGAAGGACTTCCACTCAAATCTGGAATAGAGTAGTATCAAGCAACACGCCTATCCGCACACCGCGTCTTCAAAATTGAAAAAAACTTGTTCCCCGGTATTGCCTGCCAACTCAGTACCACCGCAGTACTCAAGCTGCAGGCCGCTTCAGGTGGCTGGATAGGAGTCACATGTGCTGTAAGACTTTTTGTGAAGTTAAAGTCCAATTCCGCTTGAGGCATGACTCATGACTGCGTTATATGCATAAGCCTGGACGTCGTAGGTTCAACTTCTAGACCACTGTGACCTGCTTCTTTGGCCACCTGCTGCTCGCATTTTCAAGCGGGCGCCAACTGGCAGGGGTGCACTCCACAGGTTTTGCGGGTGCATAGCCCAAGCCTCAAGCCTGAGCAATCCCTGCAGCGGCTGCCACAGATGCGAAAAGTCCCCGCATGCTGGGAGGAGTCTAACTCTGGCGGCTCTGATTGTCGCCGCATGACGCACCTCAAGGGGCTGACGGGCTTTTCTTTTCAACTGTTCTGCTGCGTTCTGCATGGTCTGCAGCTCGAATCGCACCCTTCGCAGCCTCCACTGCAAACTCCCACACCATTCTCCGGCAACACAGCAGTGTTCAGTTTCACCTCAGCACGCTAGCATAATAACATCGAAGAAGAATCAGAAGCAAAGAACCACACATGAAGTGACACGATAAGCTGCATCGTGATGTACCGAAACACAGCCTGTGACACTTGCTTCTGGGAAGTCGGGCGCTGCCCATCTCTTCGAGGCTCGAGAGTCCAGGTGCCTGTTTGCTTGCAGTGATGACTTGTGGCACAGACCAATCTCCCGGCCAAGTATGAAGACGAAAGTGCCAACAGCAGCCGCTGCCTCTATCTTTGGTAGATGTACATCAGGTCCTGAGACTTCTAGGACTTGGGCATGGCTTTGGAGATTGAATGCTTCTGGCCACCGAGGCCCTGACGGATGCCAGCTGGGCCCGTTCTCGAACCGCCCGAGGAGCTTGGAAAGCTGTTGACTGGCAGGGTTTTGCCAAAACCCCCTCCGAAGCCTGGAAGGCTTGGCATTGGTGCAGCACCAAGGCCTTGTCCAAGCCCTGTGGAGCTAATGCTGGGACTAGGAGGCCGAAGTCCCGCACCAAAAGTGCCACTGGGCTGGAAATTACCGCCTCCAAACCCTGCAATCCCAGCACCAGAAACTGGAGCCGCTTCTTGCAAACCTGAGTTGTTCTGGAATCTGCAAACACACGGCATGGAGCGTGCGCAGAAACTCATTACGACTCATTGCGCGCTTTGCCGCAGCCAGTTCCAGCCTACTCTGATGGTCTCATGGCCTTCTCTTCTCGTACAACCAATCTTTCCGACCCGATTCTGCACAGGCCCAATGCCGGCCTACAGCATGGAGCCAAGAGGCCACTTGTGGACATGCCGCTGGCACCGTTTGCTGCACCAGGACCTGCAGGGCCACCTGTAGCATCTTGGAAACCAGGAAGTTTGCAAATCATCTCTCCAACATTTGTTCTGAAATCCGATCACCTCTGTGCACATGTGCATCATACGCCGCTACAAATACCACGTTCTTTTGGCTTCTGCGCTTTTGCCATGTTTTCGTTTATGATATCGTTGCGTTGGTGAACTGCGGCTTTGGAATGTGGGCTTGGGATAGCAGTGCTCGGTCCGCACATTTGCACTGGCCACCTTCCTCCCAGTCTCAATGCATCTTGGCTGCCTCGCAGATCTTCGAGCCGAGCACTCCCAAGGCCTATTCCCGCTCCCGGCGCTCTCAAACCTGCAATCCAGAAAAGCAAACTTCAAGGAACTTTAACTTTCAGATTTCTACAAGCGCTTTGTCTTGGCTGAGTCAAGTTCCTGGAGCAGCCGACGGGTTGGACTTGAGCATCTCCTTGACCTGCTCGACGTACCGCTCCTGACGAGGACTTCATCAAGGCGGCTCTGTGAGAAGGGTTGGTGGGGCCAGCAGCCTGCTCTGCGTAGAATGCCTCTAGCTCATGCAGGTACTCGCTGGCATCATTCTCCGTCATTGGCCTGCCATCTGGTCTTACCATCTTATCTGTTCCAGCTTGCAATCTGCGTAAAAGGTCCTTGCCTAGTTGTGTCACCTGCGATGTCATTGCCCCTTCGCTGGAGTTCACGGAAACGCGTGTCCAACCTGACTCGAAGTAGCTTCTGGCAAGGGGCGGTTGGGGGCATCAGCAAGGGCTGTGAGGAGCCATGCATTTACATTTACATCAGCTGTGAACACTTTTGTCTTTCTGGTGTCTGATGCGTCTCTCATTCACTAGGGCCATCCTTCAAACGCATTTTTGAACAATCTGCGCAACAGCCGTCAGACTCTCTGGAATTCAGAATGAGTCTTTCGTGGCTGTGGTCCTTGAAAGCTGCATTGATCTTCAAAGAAGCGGATTGAACGCTTCCAGCAGCAGGTCCCGTTCGACAGCTGCTTTCTGCCGTCAAAGCCGAGCCTGGCTGATGCTAAAAGGTCTCACAGCCAAACATAACTGGATCTCGCAGGCCATAATACCAGTATACCAGCAACTCCACCATGACAATCTCATGCCGAAACAATTCATGCATTGCTTCACTGTTGCCCAGCCTGAGGCGACGGGCCGGGAACGACTATCCTTGCGCTTGCCCTAGACTTGAAAAGCTCTTCTTTCTCATGCTGGATCCAGTTGAATGCTGTGGTCGGAAGGGTCGGAAAGGTTAACGAACCCGTCTGCCGCAAGACCAAAATCCAAATCGAGCTCCTTGTCCAGCCATGCACGTCTGGAGCATCGCCTGGCCGCTTATGCTAAAACTTTCAGTTGATCCACCTCTAATTACTGCTCTCATGTTTTCAGCTACATGCACGGTGCTGCAAGAAGGCTACTTGCGCAGGACAGTTTATTTGCATTGGCTGTTTGCGTGAAAGACATTGCTTTGCAGGCCTACTTGGATGGCTTCCAGCTGCTTTTTGAGCTTCGCCATGACCTGGGCTCTGGACCGAAACACGAAGGATCCCGCGACTTTGCAAAAATGTCCCTGCCTCGTGTTTGTCAAAGGCGAAGGTTTTCTCGCGCATTGTAAGTGACCTGGCTGTCACAAAGTGACAAGACGGCTCATGCTGCCGGTCAGGAACAGCCTCACTGGAAGCACTACCGCGGCAGTCCCCACAGCGGCGACCTCTCCGAAGGTGTCTACCTCCTGAGGCACTTTGAAAAATATTTGTAATAGTGAGTGACTTGTGGGGGTCACGAGGCAAATGTGCAAGTCAGAGCATGTCAGAGCCTGCAAGAAGTCGATGCGCCGCTGCTCCACTGCCAGGCCTGAGTCCTTGGCCAGCCTCGGGATCTCAGCAACTTTAAAACTCGTCTATACAACAGTCGACCAACTTTAATGCAAAGAAAGATTTCAATCTACACGCCAATATCACAAGATTCAAAAGACGTGCCTGAGGCGCAGGCTGCTGCAAGCACTTGTTTGTAACCGACGACAGAATCGAGGGAGATCTCGGATCTGCTAGATGAGGACGAGAGCTAGCAGCCGGCACGTCCGTACCAGCATCATTGGCGTGTGAGCTTGGGTGCTGGCGCAGCCGTGAGGTACTTGCCGTGTTTTGTTATGGTGGCAAAGTTTGTAACCTTGGCAGGCTGACTCATCTGACTCATGCAGCATTATGTCAATGTTGCCATGAGAACAACCAGAAATAGCAAAGACTGTGAGGCTGCAGTCTCTATAGTCGTTCCTAGAGGATTGAGGCTGCGGCATTGAACTCTTCAATGTAACCTGAGATTGCTGCGCAAACGGGAAGCCATCCAAAAAGGCCTGTTATGGCCTTGCAGGCAAAAGCACATTATCTGCAGTCAGTCCAAGTTACGCTGCTCTATAGGATCCAGGTAGAGACCCACCATGAAGCCTTCTGCCTGACATGAATTTAGCCAATGGCTGCAACTTGCCAGGCAGCCTTGAAGATTAGGACGTCCCTACTTTGGGAGTATCGCAGGTCAGGCCAACCACTGCTTCTGGGTCCATCCCACATTGTGGCGCCTTATGTTCCGCCGAAGGCAGAAGATCTGCCCCGTAGTTGCCGGAGCATTTGATGCTACCCATTCCCCGCGCAGCTGAGCGGTCATACTCCAGAACAACCTGCAAACTTCTGCAAGCCAACGCTATGAAACTCCGACTGCTCATGCAGCACCCGATGCCTTGCCAGCCACACCCTGAGACAGGGTTCCGCACGCGCTTCTCGAATCTGGTGTAAGATCAGCCTCCAGCCTTCTCGAGGATGTCTGGGCCAGCAGATGCAAAGTAGTTCATGACGGGGCTGCAAATTACCAAGAACTTGTACCTTCAGTTAGACGCAACAATTCTATGGTTTATCTAAGTACGTGGCATGCATCCAAGCAGCTCCTTGGCGGGAGCCAGGCCCAGCCTTGTGAATGCAAGGTGTAGAATTAACGTGGAGCCCTTGTAAAGCGAGGAAATATTGGTAGATGCAAAACTGCTGTCAAACAGCGCAGGCCCGCTCCCCAAGAGGATGGGGCGCAAATAAAGTGCACCGCCTGTACCTGAGCCCACAGAACATTTTGCAAGCGTAAGCCCAAGTTTTCACGCTTTAGATGTTTGCAGTACAAGACACCATACGGAGGAAGGATGGCAAGATTGCTTCGGATGCACATGTCCACAGCTTCCCGGAACTTTTCCAAGGAAAGCTCCGGAATCAGCATCCTGCGACGGAGCTTCCAAAGACCAAGAGCAGGCCTGATGCAGAAATCTGACTTTTGGACGGTCCGTTTGGATCCGTGGGATAGTCGCCGGTAGTTCCTCGGCTGAGACGACAATGCTAACACACTGAAATGAGGATGCAATTAAGGTGCATGCCCGAAATATCATCCGTTATCATCAGTTCATCTCAAGGCAATTCGCAAGGCTTCGTAATCCAAATGCGGGTGTACAAGCCCGTGCTAAGGAATAATCTTTTTTGACCAAAAGTCGCGGAATCATTGAAAACCCGCACGGAGCCGTCCTTGCAGTGGAAAGCCTTCATGCCCTCCCACACCGTCTGCAGGGGGCCAGGACGCCGTCAAAGCAATTTAAATGCTAGGCGCACAAAGCACATTATGTCTTTCCACGAAACATCAAGCTATGCTGCGAGGAAGCATTCTGCCCGGACACCCCTCAACAGTGCCTAACGAGTGGGTAGTAAATCATTCCTCCCCCGTCGCCTGACCATAGTGCAACGCAACGGAGTTGACATGTAGCTGAAGGTAGGGCTCCTTCGAGTGAGGGCGCAGATGCAGCAAAAGCTGACAGGACGGCACAGGTCTCGCCTTGACCAAGCTCAGGCTGCCCCAGGTGCCGTCTTTCCAAACACAACCTGACGCAGTCCAGGGATCCAAAAGTTTCGAAAGGGTGCTTTGAGGCTTCGTCCAAGCAGCAGCTGTAGCCGTTTGTCGGCTGCACGCCAAAACCGAGAGATGTCCAATCCAGGTTTGCGGAGCCAACGGCCATGGGCGCCAAGAAGAATCAGCACCAATGCAGTGTTGCCACGCCGACAACGCTGCTAGACAGTTCTGAAGTTCTGCCCCTTTGTCAGCACAACTCTTCAATGGTTAAGGCTACAGCCTATATGTTGAAGCTGTCGTGGGCAGCAGTGCTGCAAGAACGCTGCAGCCGAAAGAAAGCACAAAGCGTCAACCAGCGATCTCACGAAACCAAGAAAGCTACGTAGGCAACAGATGCGCACTGCTAAGTGCTCCGCGAGGCACCCACATTGGCCAGAGGGGCGATTGCCTGCGCAACTTTCTAAGGGGCTGGTAACAGTAGGATGCTGTTCCAGAGAAAACGTCCCGGCACATGCATGCCATGCATTTCAGACGCATTACCAGTGACATCAATCGAAGCCGCGCTTTCTGTTCAGAGAATCATTTGGCAATCTTGCTTGTAATCTTTTAGGTGCAAATTGTGCAGGCGGGGACACTCCACGAACATGATGCAACAGCCCTCGAGCCTGCTGCGACACGCGCGTGAGCTGCGGTACTAGGCTCTGGAACTCCTGCAAACGACTTGGGCTTGTTTACAGACGGCTTCAAAAAGCACCATCCCACTTTGAATATTTTAAGCAGCGTGAAATACATGAGCCCGTCAACTATTGGTTTGCTACCTCCTCGGAAGGTCTCAGATGGTGGCCTGCATCAGCCTGATGACTTTGTCGATCATGCCAGATAGCTTGGCATCAGTTGCCGGCGTCACCTGAAAGACAATGCTGCAACAACGTTGCTTCCAGTTGCTTATGATATCTTTGCATAGCTTGCCTGGCCCGGAATGGATGCCTGCCAAGCTTGCAGGTTTTATCTTTTCTTGGATATGATGCCAGTGCGTTCAGCCTGACAGACTTCAATCCAAACGTAAGCAGCATTTTAAGATCATCAGGCAAGAGTCCCTTTTGAACTTGAGATGCTTAATGCTTAAAGGCTCACAAAGCAGCCTGCATTTGCGTCTGCGCCGGAGGCATCGGAGGCATTTGTGGGATGTTTGCCATCCCCGGCTCCCGTGGGCTCGGTGTAAGGCCACTTGGGAGTCGGTGGCCGAGCATTCCCTGATAACCTGTCAGCTGAAAAAGCTGACAGCCGTGTGTTTGGCTTCGCTTCATGCGTTAGGCCTCCACCTGAGCTGGCTAGCGTGGCTAGTTGCTGGACCTGCTGCTCCGCTTCGTTCACGAGGCTGATTTGCCTGAAGCTCCAGCATCCAGGCCATCAGGGAAAAGAAGGATTCGATCAGGCCTGGAAACGAAGGACTCCAGCTGATCGGCATACGGCGCGGCGTCCGCCTGTAAAGTTGGTTGAGGCACTGTAACCCGTCACGCATGGTTTCTGGACCGTACAGCCCTTGGCCCTTCTTCCGGTCCACTTCGGCTAAAGTGCGCTTGTCAACTGTGCTAGTGCCAGCACAGCCAGGCAGCCGCTAACGGTTTAGGGTGCCTCAAGCATAGGCTGACGGCCGTCTCCGGCGAGCTGGATGCCTTTCTTCTGCAAGGTCAGGAACTCCTCGTGCAGCTGCTGAGCCTTGTTGGCCAGAGTGTTGAAGGCCTGCGCCGACCAGGGCACGCTGCACATCGCTGCACCATGCTGACTTCTGTTACGTGTTTAAGCAGATGCTCTGACCCTGGCCTGGGGAGGTAAGTTGGGGAGCTTGGGATGCAAAGCCTCGAAGCGCTGCATGCCTGACTGGATCGCCTTCCGGGGCCAAGTTTGTCGCAACATGCTGGCTGTACCTCTCTCTTCGAGCAAAGTTAAAGTGTAAGCAAATGCGTGACACATGCATTCGACGTATGCCACTTCAGCAACCAATACAATCGCTCATCATGTGGGAGGACGCAAGGGGCGAACAAATCTTTAGTGCACAGGGCAAGGATCCACTGCTTTTGGGTGAAGTTTGAAAGCCTGATGATGCCTGATGTAGCAAAAGAGCAGGCGGCGTCTCCCAGCACAAGCTGTGCATGGGTGTCTGCAACTGCACTCTGCACTCTAACGTGAATTTGCGCACGAAAGAAGTGCAGCTGACAGCCCTCTTCTTGCCTGAGATCAGGCTTTGTCTGCATTCAGGATAATCCTATGAAAGACCCGACCACCGGTCCACTTTGAACGTGCTTGAACATTGCAGAATGCGTGGCTTGCTGTGATTGTGGAGCGAAGTTTTTCTCACGCACGAGCCTGCATGGCTGCTTGCAGCCTCCGCTCTGTTGACTCCGAAGCAGCACCTGGCAGAGAGAGACAATTAGTTCCTGTACTCCTATACAACTCCTAAACAAAAAGGTTGTTTGCTCTGGCCTCCAATCCCAGGCACTGCGCTGCCTTGGCCTGGCAAGCTTCCCAAAGACACAGGCGCAAATCCTTAGCTCACAGGAGGCAACTGATTCCTTGATTTGTTTCAGAAGCTTTGGCATCTCCAGCAAAGGGCAGGAAATTCAGAGTGCCCTCCTTCCTGGGTTCAAAAAGAACTTTCCTCACAAAGTCTATCTCCGTGCTGGGTGGCTTGGACGTTTTTTTTAGACTTCAGGGCAGCTGCGGTTTCAGCAGCTTTGGGGTTTGAGGGTTTTGACGTGCCCGATTCAGGATTTAGGGTTAAGGTTTTTTGGTGTGGGTTTCGAGGCTTCAGGCCATGAAGGGTTCAGGGTTTGCATCTACCTTTCAAGCTAAGGAGGGTTTAAGGCCAGCAGGCCTTGGGTGTAGTGGCTGTGAGGTTTTAGTTTTAACTGTGGGAATTCCGGGATGTAGAGAGTGAGCACTTACAGTCTTGCAGGTTTGGGTGCTTGAGGGGTTAGATTCTAGGCGTTGTGGGTTTATGATGTTAGGGTTTGGGCCGTTTGGGTGTCAATTTTCAAGTTGCAGTTTGAAGGTTCAGGCTTTGCTTTGCGGCGTAAAGTTTAGGGATTTTCGCTTTCAGGTTTGAGGGCGTAAGGATGCCTGCACTTAGGATAACATTTAATGTCAGATAACAGCATGAAAATGCCCACCAAAAGCACAGGAAGCGACAGCACACTCTTGCACCCTTTTGAACGCATAGAGGAGAGTGGTGGCAGTCGCTGTGTCTCCCACAATTCCATTCATCAAAATGGCCACTGGCCCCATCACACTCAGGGCCAAAGGCACCTGTGTGTTCCGGGGCCCCAGGCCTTAACATGTAAGAGAAAAGGGCTGGAGTTGACACCAAAATGACGCCAGCTGTAAACTCCAGCCAGGGAGACTGCCTGCCTGCCCATCCGGCGCCCTGCGCGGGCCCTTAGGATGGGGCAAGGAGCTAAACGAAAGGCTGCGGTCCATACAGGACAGAGTTCATCAAATGGAACTGAGGAAGTACTGCATTCACACACCTCCAGGCTCTTCGTGAAGCCTGAAAAATCTGGATGGGTCAGTTCATCTGCCCAAGTGTTGAGGTCCCTCTTCACGTGGGAGGGCGCCAGCTGAAGACCAGTTGTGTGGAGTTGAAGCAGCATCTCCATGAGCATGAGCGCCGCGTGGAGCTTGTTGGTCTTTTGGTTCAGCATGGAGTAGACATTCCCCTGATAGTCCGAGACCATGGGATTCTAAGGTTTGGTATTGAGCCATCGTCCTTCATCACGAGGAACTTGGCCAGCAAGAGCGAACCGAACATCTCGAACGTGCTGATTCTGAACTGGGGGTCACCTTTCTCAAAGGCCCAAACATGCTTGTCCGGAGCGACCTTGTAGTGGAACCAGAGGTCCTCCTTCTGGGGCTTCTCCTTGTTCGAGAACCAGCCGCCTGGCACCATGCCACAAGGATTCTGGAGCAAAAGGCGAAGCTTCGCGAAACTGCGAGTCAAACATGCGCATGCGCAACAACGCAAAAACTCTGACCACCGTCGGTGGGCGTCCTGATGTCTTGCAAGCTTGCTTCCAAGCCCAGAAGTGCTGAAGGAAGGGTTTGGTGTTGGGCAGGCCGTGGTAGCCCACTGGATTTGGCCCAAGACACTAGCAATCCTAGCTAAGGTCAGGACCCTTCCTTCTGACAGATGCTTTGGTTTGGCCATCTGGGATGGGGCCACGAGGGTCGATCACGAAGCCAAGCCATGTATTGATTTCGGCCAGCAGGGTCTTCTTCCAGCTGAGGGGAACCCCTAAACTAAGAAGAAGAAGAAGAAGACAGATTCCAACCGCGAGCAGCGGGCCGTTCTTGGCGCGGAGGAGCCAGGCAAAGTCATCCACGAAAACATAGGCCCAATCGACAGTGCGGAAAACCGCATAGAGAACACGGAGAATTGCAGCCGCTTGTCGTCAACCTCGACCATGAACGTGGCACGGATCTCCGTGGAATAGGACTTTGCCGAAGGAGGAGTAGTTCGCATGCTTATGCGGAGGTGGGACAACTGGAGGATCTGTCAATTCTGCCCTGAGGGGCCAAATTGCAGAGAGGGAGTGTCTGCCCCCAGTACAACCCCTTGATCAGGTTGGTAGGATCCGTCTGGGTCACCACTGCAGATCAGGAGCTGCTTGATCACATCCAGATAGAAGGGTTGTCTGGTTCGCGGTGAGCGGATGTTTTGCAAGGCTGCCATGCGCCTTCCGATAGGGACTGTCGGAAGGCCTCAACATAATCCTTAGCCACGTCAAGGATGAACTGCCCCACGTGGGCCAAGCCCTGCTGAGGTCGGAGCGGTGACAGTCTCGGAAAGAAGATCCAGTTTCCTGGCAAGCGGTTGGGGTCTGTCTGAGGTTAATGCTGACTAATCCCTCCTGCCGGGCGGCCGAGGAGGAAATGCGCAAGATTTTTCAGGGTCCTTGCCTTGGAGTTGGAGCCCGGGCGGCTCAGGGGGAAAGAAGAAAAAAGAAGATTTTGGAAAGACATTATGCTTAGAGGGGGGCGGTTTCAAGGCTTCCCTGGTCTGCGTCGGCGGCAGATCCTTTTCCTGCAGTGAGTCTGAGGCTGTAATCAGCTGTTCACTTGTCCGAGCAGAGCCCCGGGCGGTGTCTGCCCGGCTGTCCCCTTGTTTGCCAAAGCCGTGTGCTACCTGCGCATCACCTGTCGCGATGGATGTCTTGGCTTCTTGCTGTGGCTTTTGTCCTGTTCCACTCAAGATCGCTTCCGCTAGGCCTCTCATCGTGGCCTCGTCGTACCTGCTCGAATCACGCGAGCACAATGAGCTGTCTTTCTGAAGATCGTCCCAGTGCATGAGCGGTAAGCTTGTTCCAAGGGTGGTGGACTTCTTGGCCACCTGCCCTATCAAAACGAATCAGACTGAGCTTCAGGGACTTAGCCGGAGTCACCCGTATTGATGAGCACTTGCCAGCCACGGTAGCCTTGAAGCGCTCTGCTGGGTCCGTGGAACGATGGAAAATCTGCGCATGGGCCCCACACTTCCCTTCTTCCCCTGTCTGCAAGGGACGTGAGTAGTATCTGTCTCAGAAGCAGGACACTATCGTTTTCAGTCTCTTCTTGATCCGGTTCTGAGTTGGCATCGGAACCCCAAATCTGTGTGCCTGCACGTGCCCGGACTGGTCGAGGCTCCCCGGGCTTTGGAAACCACCTCAAGATGCTCCATGTTCGGCAGTTGGGGCCACCTCCAATGGCTCAGCACTGACCTTGCACGGCATGCTTACAAAGACTACTATACGGCTCATCAGCCAGTATGTCATGAGCTGTCTCCATGCCATCCCTGCGGATATCATAAGCCCGGACTCTCCTAGTCAGGCTTGGGCCTACTGCATGCAGAACTGAATCGAGAGAGGAAGCATCCTCTTCGCCTGCATAAATCGGTCGACCTTCCAGGGGCTCGCACCCTCGGCCTTGTCGCCGCACGCAATCTCATCAAACGGCTTGGCAACCTCGTGCTTAAGGGAAATTTTCAGGGCCAAAGGCACGACCCACAAAGCACTTCTCGGTGTCGTCCGTCGGCTTCGGGGGCGGAGTCGCGTAGTCACCAAGGTCCACGGCCATGTGCTCTTTGGTCGCAGTGGCACCGCCTGCCACGTGATGCCACCGGCTGTGTAGACGAGCTGCCACACAATGCCGTCCGCCTCAATCTGACAGGTGGGAGGGGCGCGATCCACGGCTATCACGTGCTCATTGCAGAGCATGCGCTGGCCCTCCACCTTCTGCTTTGTCCATGCTGGGGGCACATGAGGCCATGGTCGCGGCTGCAGGCTCATGCCTTGGCTCTTGCGACTGTACTTTGAACTTGTTCGGGGAGCCCCACCACGCAGAAAGTGCCATCGGGCTGCGCAGCGAACTTCACAGGGCCTCTGGATCCAGCTCCTCCACGGGCATCATCTCAGCATCCACCACGGCAGCAGCCGGTTCACCTTCAACGACCCCTCCCTCAGGGCCAAAGGCGCCTGTGGTCGGGGTGGTGTCGGCGTTCCCGCCAGCAGGCTTGCGAGGACTGCTTTCAACCTCAAAGGTCTGGATCTCCTTGAAGGGAAGCACCTTCTTCTCTTTCGTGGTGACCTTGGCCAAGGCGTCAGTCATCTTGGAGCTTCACGACCAATGGGTTGTCATCAACCTCCACGATTTCCTCTTCTGTCAGGAAGGTTGTGGTGGTTTGCTCCGCCACCACGACTTCGTCATGTAGGGACGTTGCCTTTTCCTTGATCTCAATCCACTCCGAGTCACTGCCCGACACGTCAACATACACATGGGTGCCCCCAGGGCCAAAAGCGCCTGTGGCTTCCACAGGGGCGGTCGCCGCAACGTCAGCAGGCACGGAGGATGAGGAAGGCATGACTTCACAGAATTGAAGTAGAATGAAGGCGAAAAACGTTTCAATTCACAATGGACCACAGGTCCCAGATCTTGAGCCAAAATGGCAAGGCCATTTTGGCAGCATGTTCCAGACATATGCCTTGCCTTTCGCAGGCTACAGCAAGTGTGCAAATCTGAGGCCGCTACACCCCAAACTCTCTCAGCGCTAAGCCCCCAACCCGTAGACATGCTTAGCCTGCAAACACTCCGCAACAATTGGACAGGAAAAGCGTCTGACAAAGCGCACGCTCGACGACGAAAAAAGACGTGCTGAACTCTATCTAATCTTCCCTTCGACAAAGCACCTGAACGGCTACCAAGTTTTGAGCAGAGATTCCCGCGCCGTCCGAACCTACCAAGCCCGATCTTGCAGGTCTTGCTGGGCTAGTTATGCCCAACCTGCGGCCATTTGGAGTGCATTAATCGGTGCCTAGGCTTTCACCAATTGATTCTAAAGGCCAAGCAGGAGTAACACATCTCAACCGTGGAAAGACATGGTGTGTATCAGCCTTTACCTGCGCCAGGACTGAAATCTTAAGCGGGTCTCTAGCTCTTCTCCAAAGGCTTGTGACTTCTCCGCATGTAGCAGACTTGAAAATCGCAGCCTGATATTACGTCAGAGCATGAAAGCAAGAAACCAGCCTGGATGAGACCTGGTCCACAAAAACGGCCAAGTCTCTGTGAAACACAATGGCTTCCTAAGTTTCTGTATGAAAAATGCTGTTGCCAGAGCTGGAGACTGGCCAACCGATGCTACAAACGGGTGTGACCAAGCATCTTCTTCTAAGTCTGGCCCTCCGCTTCTGGTCATCAGCTTCTGCTGCATGGCTTCGAAGCGCTCATGCAACCTTTGCGCTGGCTCTGCAACCTGCTGCAGTTCAGCGGGAGGCAGCGTGGCTATTTGCGGCTGCATTTGCTCAAAGCGCTGCATGAGCCCAGCGATGCCCTCCACGGCATCTTGTAATGGAGCTGTGGGCGCGCCAGGAGCGGGTGCACCGCATCCAGGCAGCGTGCGGGGTAAAGGGAGCTGCCCTGCAGGCAGAATCACCAATACCGCCAACGCCAGGAATCGAATCCATGTTCGCATCATGGCGTCTCAACTGCTGTGGTAAAAGCTGTCTGCTATGTTTGAGTTAGCAGCAAATCTTCTTGCTGTGGTTCGGAGTTCGGATGCCCAGATGGTTGCTCAGATATCATATATCTGACAAATTGTGTGGTTTGGCTACAAATACTAAGCATGCACGAATCTGGAAAGACGGTTGGTGGCATGATGCTCGGCTGTTCATGTTCACCCGTCAAGCTGGGAGAACGTCAAAGGCGGCAAAATGCGACGCGGCTCAGCTCTGAAGGCAGAAGTCCTTTCACATGACCGTACCTTGTCCCTGACTCTCAATGACTGAAGGTGCTTCAGCCTAGGACCCTTTCTTTGATCTCCAGGCAGCTGCGCAAATAGTTTAGGGAGCGCTCAGTTCATGCGCTTAAGTAGGTCGTTGATCAGCTCCTTCAGCCATGGAAAACAGAATCACTCGAGGGTTTGTCCGTCAATCTTAAAGTTATATTACTGCTGTTACTTTTGGATTGTCGTTATTGTCCTCGCGGTTGCCCCAATCGCCTCCCCGAGCTTCACAAAAGCCGTGACCTCATCCAACATGTGACGTAGGGCCAGGTAGGACTTTCTTGGTGGATCAAGGGTTCGACGCTTGTTGATGAAGCCACCCTTTGGCGAGCTCAACTTGAACGGCCACAGGAAGTTGGACACCTCTCTGCACGAAAGACAGTGGTCTACGAGATCTTGCCAACAGCCTGCATTGCTTACGCATGCCGCATGAAGCAAAACAGGTAGAATACAAAGCATCCAAGCCATTGCCTGTTTGAAGCTGGGGCCAACGGTGTAGATCT